GGTGAAGAAAAACAACATAACAGCACTGTAATGAAATAGATGATGAACCTTACCTGAAGCCGGTTTTGTCCAACATAAATTTTGTTACTTATCCTGTTAGTTCTAATACGTTATTGAAGTTTTACCTGAACACAGAATCAATACATTAGCAAAGTGAATAGTAACTTTCTTTCTTTGATTTTTAAAAAATCTGCAGGTCATAAAACAGGACATTTCACTTAGCAAAAAACACTGACAGCATGCTTGGCAATTTATTTGTGTGCCAGTTGCAAATTACGGGTTCACTTTTAGGATGCTTGTGCTCAGGGGCTGACTGGCAACTTTTGGCCCAGGGGGCATGTAACACCAAGAGGCCCACTGAGCCCCCCTCCTGCTTTCCCTCTTCCCCTGCGTGCTCCCCACCCCCCTTGCCACTTTCGTCAGCCATGTAAATTACAACACGGGAAAACAAAATAAACTAGGGATGCTCCTATATATATCGGCCGCCGAAATATATCAGCCGAAAATGGCACTTTTGGGCGCAGAAGTCAAGGGTGTGACGCAGAGCACAGGGTGTGATGCAGAGGTCAGAGTGTGATGCAGAGTCCAGAGGTCAGGGTATGACACAGAGGTCAGGGTGTGACAAAGAGCGCAGAGGTCAGGGTGTGACGCTGAGCACAGGGTGTGACGCAGAGCGCTGAGGTCAGAGTGTGACGCAGAACGCTGAGGTCAGGATGTGTTACAGAGCGCAGAGGTCAGGGTGTGACGAGAGAGCAGAGGTCAGGGTGTGACATAGAGGTCAGGTGGTACAGTGCGCAGTGGTCGGGGTGTGATGCAGAGCGCAGTGGTCAGGGTGTGACGCAGAGCGCAGAGGTCAAGGTGTGATGCAGAGCGCAGGGTGACACAGAGGTCAGAGTGTGATGCAGAGCGTAGAGGTCAGGGTGTGACGCAGAGGTGAGGGTGTGACGGAGAGCGCAGAGGTCAGGGTGTAGCGCAGAGGTCAGGGTGTGGCACAGAGGTCAGGGTGTGACACAGAGGTCAGGGTGTGACGCAGTGCAGAAGTCAGTGATATCAGTACATGTAGACGTAGAGGTCAGTAAGGAAGTGCAAAGGTCATACAAAAAGAACAGGGACTTACTGTGACTCCTTTTCTTTCTACATTCAGGTGTTGTGCCCTCTTCTCTTTCTCTCTTGGTAGTTGGGGGGTCAGATGAATGCTCCAGCAGCCTCTAGGAGCCGGGATAGATCCTCTAGCAGCAGAGATAAATGCTCCAGCAGCCTCGATGAATGTTCCAGCAGCCTCCTCATGTGTCTCCTCCCTTCAGGTCCCGCGCAGCACTCCACAGCCTGCCAATGGTAGCTTGGCAGTCTCCCTCCCAGCCAATAGCAGCAGAAGTGGGCGGAGGGAGCTGCCGTGGCCGCCGAGGAGCCCGATCAGTGACACGGGCATTCGGGAAGGCAGCCGAACATGCTGTTCTCCTCGGCCGCTGAAGTAGCGTGTTAGCGTCGGCCCGACGGGGGCCGTTTTTAGAGGCAACAGAGAGGCCCGGGGGGCAATTGCCACCCTGCCCCCCGGCACAGTCCGCTCCTGCTTGTGCTGTTGTGCTGCAACATGAATTGTAACAGCTACGGATATAATAAATTGGATAAACTTGTAAACTGGGTTATAAGCAAATTGATATTTGTTTTTAAGAAAATGTGTAAGTTAGCAGAACTTTGATATGACTGATATGACTGACAGTGACTTACTGACAGATAGACAAAAAAGACACCTGCCTCAGGTTCCTTAGTGCAGGGTGGTGGTGTTATCAATACGGTTTACCAGTCCTACTTTTGTCTGTCATAGGTGCATATGTGCACCAGTCATGTTTTACCTATTCCTTCCCACCTTTTCCTATTTCATCTCCCTTCCCCAACCTCTGCTCCTGATCGTACTCCATGTACATTTCTTGTGTGGACCTCTCTTGTATATATTGTCCCATGTGCTGCTGGTCTCCCCACTGCTGAGCAGTACACATTATATCTTCACAAATGGGTTTAAACTTGCTGGGACTGAACATGGCAACTGTCCTGGCACACATTCAGGACAAAGGACAAGAGGAATCTAAAGAAGAACCAGAGGAGTAGAGTGGCTTAGCCCATGGCACTGGAGCAGTACACACAGTTCTATATGGTCTCACAGACAAGTTGTTGAATGTTAATGTTGTTGCTACCTGGAGGAGGGTATGAAAACGGTCAATAATACTCTGTAAATGCTAAAGACTGCTAGAAATTAAAAAAAAGAAATAAAAAAGTATTGACTTTTATGACTGTGGGGGTTCAAAAGATTCAAAGTGCTTGAGGGGAGTGAAGGTCCATTTTAAGAATTAGCACTTTTAGAACTCTGTATAGAATAAGGCTGATTTTTTTAAATTATTCCAAACCACGATTTAAAATACATCATTAGAACAATTGTAATAATTATTGTGAAAACAGTGTTTAATTAAAATTAATTGCAGTAAAAAGACTGACCCCAGGAGAACTTCTGAATCTGCAGAGGATCTTAACATGAGTTATCAGGTTATAAAAGCTCTGCCCTGCACAAAATTCAATATAAAAGGTTGACAGATGGTAGAGAAATCTGGGGAGAAATGTGAAATAAATAACTTTTCACTCCTGTAAATGCTTCTCAAAATGTAACCTATACTTAATATCTTCATTGTAGATATTTTTTGCTGGATGCTTTTGTTTCATGGCACATCACTGATCATTATATTTCAAGAAATCAACATTATATTTTTGGAGCAATGTTCAAAATTATATACATTTTTATTGAAATTAGCTCTTCCTAAATAACCGATAATCAAGGTATGTCAGTGTTCAATATAATAGAATTTTAAAGCTGGACTTCCTGCAAACAGACCCACCAATTGCACCCTTCCAGGAAAGTATGAGATAAATGGGATTCTCCAGGCACTGTATCTCTCAAAGAGCATAAACATTGGCAGCTTAAATGGTAAGAAATGTACATTATGTCTTCTTTACAGGCAGAGTTTCTCTTTTACCTTTTAATTTAAAGACAAAGTTCCTTTAACAATGATGAGAAATGTAATTTGAAAACTACATAAACAGTCTTATCTCTGCATTGCAAATCTTTTGATTCTACTAAGCAAATAGGGACAGTTTTATCCAGCCTGCATAGAATCTTACAGCTCTTGATCATTATTGCCTGTGTTCCTAAATTGCATGACTTTCTGCAGATCAGGAAAGTCTACATGCAAATAATCAGGTGAATCCAAAAGTAATGAATCTGCAATTCTCCTTTTTGATGTTCCCTAGCTACTACATTTTCTTTACACTTTTAAGAAATGTGTGCCTAGGTGCTCATCTTGCATGTTACATTGTCCCTTCATTTGCAATGGGCCCTAATGCATGCCCACCTGCATCATTTTATTTCAGTGCACTGCAAGGAAACTTTTTTTGTATGTATGTACGTATGTGTGGATGTTTATTTGTTTCCATGTATGCGCATTGGGTTGCCTTTGAAAATAACTGGCAACACACATACAGAATAACATATGCATATGTAGAAACCTGAACAGCTTACCCTTGGCCATTATATTTAGGAAATGAATTAGACAAGGTGCCCTTGACTGAATTGTAGCTTTTAGTTTGTAAAATATAACTTTAATGTTTTACATTAATGATGATAGAAAACTAGTAATGATGTGTTTGCCTCAATTATTTAATCATGTGCAAAGAAAGTTCCCTTTTTATATTTCCTTGTCTATATTTGAGTATTTGAGATAAAAACAGGTTCACTTGGATTTGCTTTAGTTAATCAATGCCACAGCATAAATTAAAAAATCACCATTTAAGTGGCACATACATTTAAGATTTCCCTCGGAGATGAAACAGTACTTGCAACAAAAAGGTGCAGTAAAGCAATTTGTATTAATTGCTTTGTTTTCCACGTGGGGAGATGAGGCAAAGCACCAACTGATGAAGCTGCATTGTGTGAAATGACTAGCTGATTTAAAGTAGATCTAAACCCAATCACTAAATTCCCATATACACTGTATCATGTTAATTTCAAATGCTGTTTTCAAACGTTATTAAAATACCACTGGGTGATCTTGCTATGAAGGTTCTTTCTTAAGCATTTCCTGACACACATTGTGCAGACATTGCCCTCCGTGGTCAGGCAACTGGTCTGGAGCAATCAGAATAACAGCGATGAAAAACAGTTACTTCTTACTTAATGATCTACCTGCTTATTGACCATTCAGACATACGGTCGGCTATCCAACCAGTTGGTATTGTACAATGAAAAAGAACTTGGGTCAAGCTCATCTCGTATAACCCTTTCTAAGTCCCTGTCTTGTTTCCGCAGTCGGTCAGTTAGTCAGTATTGACTACTGGTCTGTACATTAGTATTTACAGTATGGAAACCTAAGTAATGTTCTGTATATTAGAGTTGATTTCCTGATTTCCAATTCACTTAGTCATAGGGACGACTCACTCAGTCATTAGGTGAGGAGTGTATGTACATCAAAGGACTATAAAAGGTGGAAAAATGTCAGTTGTTTATGATACCCAGTGCTTTAGGAAACAAAATGTCATCAAGTCAAGGTTTACATCTACTTTAATGGTTAAACAGGAAAAGCATTATGTTGATTTGTGTCATAGACCAGCTTCTTTTTCTTCTGCAGACCCATAAACCTACAGAACACTATGTTTTATTTTAAAGAGTGTATAGAAAAGCAAAAATATTACATATTTATGAATTTTGCGTCTTGGCACAAGTTATCCTGTAAATTATAAATTGTATTGTTTACCTTGTACACTTGGAAATTCTGATAATTATTGGTGATACAAAGAACTTCTATAATCCCTCACGCATAGTTTACGACTAATGCCTTTTAGATTTTGTATGATGTTAATTAGACATTCCAGAAATTCGACTGTTTTGTACACTAATTATTTCACTGTAGTATTTAGGGTTAATCAAATTGGAAAAATAAAACTGACTGAAACACTAGATGGAACAACCCAATCAGACCATGATATCATTTTTCATCATCAAAGGATTCTCAGACATTCCAGAGTTGCAAGCTCCAATCTTCCTTCTGGTCCTTTTTATTTATCTCCTCACTCTTGGTGGAAACATGACCATTATCCTACTGGTCTGCCTGGATCACCATCTCCACACTCCCATGTATTTCTTCCTGGTCAATCTATCCTTTATTGATATATGTGCTACAACTGTTACTCTACACAAGATCCTTCTCATAAATCTCACTGGGGATCGAGTTATTTCCTATATTGGTTGCATAGGCCAAATGTATGTCTTTGGAAGCCTTGTTAGTGATGAACTATTGTTCCTTACTGCAATGAGCTATGACAGATATGTAGCAGTGTGTAATCCTTTGAGATACACAGTTATCATGAATCACAGAACCTGCACTCTTTTGGCCTCTGTCTGTTGGGCTCTTGGTTTTATAGAAATAATACCATATGTTGTTTTGGTGACTGGTTTCTCCTGTTACAGATCCAACATTCTGAACCACTTTTTCTGTGATCTGTTGCCTATTATAAAACTGTCTTGCAGCAACACTTCTGTTCTGGAAACATTGTTCATAGTTGAAGGTGCAGTCTTGCTTGGTCTTGGCCCTTTCCTTCTAACGTTTCTGTCCTATGTTTTTATTATCACCACCATACTAAAGATTCGTTCTAAAACAGGAAGACGTAAAGCTTTTTACACATGTTCCTCCCACCTCACAGTCGTCATCCTTCTCTATACTACCTTAATCTACCAGTACTTGAGACCCATTTCAGCAGACAGTCTAGATTACAATAAACTACTCTCCCTTTTTAACACAGCTGCTGTCCCCATATTGAACCCTCTCATTTACAGCCTTAAAAATAAAGATGTGAAGTCAGCTTTCAAGAAAAGATTGCAGTTTGTGAGAGTTAAAAATACAGTTGTAAAGCCTGCTTGCATAGTAGGACTTCAGCTTCTAACAGTTAAAAAGTAACTATAAAATTTTTTTTTTTTTTTTTTTTTTTTACTGCGTAATCTTTCTTTTCAAGGAAGTTGTCAAGAACCAAATTTAAGGAACTGAACAGAAAACTAAAAGTACAGTCTTATCTTCCTTTTCTAAACATAAAACCTAAGGCTTGGATGGTTATCCCAAAGAATGGTACATACTATATAATGGAAAATTAGTTCAGTACCTTCTCAATCTATATACCCTGATATATTTCGAAATGATTCATACCCCCCTCTATGAGGGAAGCCCTACATATATTGATCTCCAAACCCATTAAATACCCTTTATATATCAATGCCTATAGTCTGATTGAATTAATCTACTTGGAAGTCGGAATCCTAGCTAAAACACTAGTATTTAACTCAGTGATCTCTACTCTTGTTACTTTTGACCAAACCAGATTTTTTGGTTCGGGTACATCTTTACACATTAAAGTCCACAGACTCTTTATCAACCTTCAAAACCCTCTATTCCTCCACTGCCCCTAGAGCTATTTCTGGCTTTAGACCCTTGATGCCCAACAAGTGGACCATGGGGTAGATGTGGCCCACCAGCACTCAAAATGCAGTCTGCTGTGCTTTAGACTTCTAATTGAGTCCAGAACACAGCAGTATACACATTGAGTAACAAGGGCTCTCGTGGGCTTTGGAGCTGCAACTGATGGCTGTCAGTAAGTCTTGGGCTTTCTCTCCTGCTACTGAGAGCTCCATACGAGTGCTTTCAGGAGGCATTGTAAACACAATGTGGAAAAATGCTTTTGCACTGTGTTTACATTGGAAGTGAAATTACATCACATGACATCACTTCCTGTTAGAAAGGAGGCATGGGCAGAACTGAAGGAGCTCGGTTCAGCCTCTCCCTGCAGCACTAGGACACTGCTATAGTGATCTATTGTTTGCTAATTGAAGCCAGCATGAAATTAATATTAAAAGTGATCTGCTGCATAGCTAGCGGCTGGATCAGATCTCCAATGGCCAGATCCAGAACAACCAAAACAAAAAAGTAAGAAAGAAAATGAATACATTTAATACATTAATAAAAAAAAATCCTCTCCCGATTTATCTTAGCGTCACACCAAATAAGTCAGAGGTTCTGGGTACATTTGCATTTACTGCATAAGCAAGTGCAATGTCATTTAGTAGTCTGTAACAGTGACTTTGGATATCATTTAAAGGAGAACTATGAGGTGAGTGCTTTTCACTCTCCTCATAGTTCTAGCTGACCTGTGACAATGAGACTGTCACAGGTCGGCTCAGTAGATCGGGAGGTGAGCGAACACATACTGGCGTTCGCTCACCTCTCAATCCTGTCACGGCTCTCTGCCGTGACAGGGGAGGGACTGAATTCCCCCCTCCCCGCTCCGATCCGCCAGCGCTGACTGGCGGAACGGACGGGAAGGGGGCGGGTACAGCTGACTCTGCCTCTAGATAGGCAGAGCCAGCTGTCAGTCACGCAGCTGGGCGGATCCCGGCATAATTGTCGGGATCCGTTTCCAGCTGCGGCGTCTCAGTATACCGCGAGCAGCAGCTACAGCTCGCGGTATACTGAGCCTAGGGTGACTGGAGGACGCTAGTTTGTGTCCTCCCGTTACCCTAAGGAGAACTATGGGGAAAAGCCTTAACCCCATAGTTCTCCTTTAAAATGAATGGCACTACAACTCACACACAGTAGTGCATAGGTATCCATGCATTGTGGTAACATAGAGTAAGACAAGTGTTTCTAATGTGGAAGAATAACACAAATTTAATAAAGCTAAATTATTATGTGGACTTCTGGACATGTCAGGGGCACACTTGATGCTCCTTATATTCCCTAAGTTGACCAACACTGCTTTAGATACTCACAAAATCTTCGAATCATTTGAATGGCCCTTATTCACTTGTATACTTGAAACATTTGGCTTTGGTCATATCTTTATCACTTGGATCTAAATGCTTTACACTCAACACCAGTCATTTTAAAATTAATTACCTCATATTGGACCCCTTTCCTGTACAGCGGGGAATGTAGCAAGGCTGCTCCCAAGTCCCACTCCTTGATATAGTGTCCGAGCCAAGATTATAATACAAACTTCACTGATTAAGGGAGTTAGGGTGGGTACGCTAGAAGAAAGAGTCTCTTTATACATGGACAATATGAGGGAGTTAGAAAGTATTCTAACCTACCTAATCAATCCACAGAACACAATAAAAAATTTTATTAATAATTTAACAGATCTAGAACTGAACCCCAACTCTCTTCTAAAGCTTACTCTAAAGTTTAGCTATTTAGGAGTAGAAATACAACTACCCATGTAAAAATATATTGAAAACAACTTACTTCCCATTATCACAGACTTTAAATGTAAAATAGCTGTTTGGACAGGACTTCCGCTTACTTTCCTGAGAAGAATCAATTGATTCAAAATGGTGTTCTTTCTGAAAAATACTGTTTAACTCCCCTGCCTATATTTTTAAAACAGAGTTTCCCAAAACTAAACTTTTTTGTTTCTTAATTTCAATGGCACCCTAAGCCTCGCAGATTCTTTATTTCACTTTCCACCCAAAACGGCCTGATATTACAGAGATACCACCATGCTTCCTAGCTGGTATGCATACATTGCTGGTTATTTCCACATGTAAATATTGCAGCTACAGCCATGGAAGAGCTGTGGTCTATTCATATGAAGCACTTTCAAATCTTATACATAGACAGACTTTCCATACTAAAGAAGGCAGCTCAATTATATCAATGTTGCTTAATTTTTACAACCAATACCTTCAAATGCGCTCACATGCACCCAAAACCACCTCCCCTAATAACCTCAGTTCTGATATAACCCAGAACTAGTATACTTCTTGACTGTTCCCAGTGGCCCTTGATGGGATCAAGTGAACCTGTAATATATACAAATTTGTAATCACAGTGTTCTTTCCTCCCTTAAACTGGAACTGACAATATCGGATGCTTGGTATTTTGAATATACCTAAATTAGGCATGTAGCAGAAGCCCAGTTAGGGTTAAAGCATGTTTTGTCCTGCTCTCCTTACTGAAACTTTCTCTACTCCAACCTTTCCACAAACAGCTATTTTCCAGATGATATAATACCCTTATGAAGATAAAGCCCTCTAACCTATTCCCTATTCCGGAACAACGCAGTAGAGATCATTCTGACATGATAGAACAGGATGTGGAGGAACTCTCTAGTACATATTTTTGCATTGGTACATCTGTAAGGGATAAACTAACACAACTGTGTTATTTTCATACCAATCCTGTTAGATTGTTTTACATGGGCATATGGGATAGATCCACCTGTGATACATGTATATTGGTAGACAGAGAAATTTTCCACCTGGTCTGGGATAGCAACAGAATTAGACCATCTTTTTGGTCCGAGGCCATTGACTTAATTTCCCAGAATTTTACTATTCCCAACATTTGCAACCCAGCATGGTGTCTATTGGACAACTTTGGGAACCCCTATTTTTAGTGCACCAAAAAAGCCTTTCTACACCCATTGCTTTTCTTTGCAAGGAAAACCATAGTACTGCACTGAGCACTTAGATATCAATTTATGGAATCACCTGGTTCTCCTTTTACAGGATAACTTATGAGACCCCACTGAGTTTAATAAACTATAGGGAGCTAGGTTTCCTATCCCAAATCTTTTGAACAACTGGCCAATCTCTTCTGAATGCATTTGCACTCCAATCACCCCAACTGGTTCACATTTATTAAAAACATAACATGAAGGGTTGCTGTTAAATGTCCTATTCTTAATATTTTTTCAACAGGTCAATAGTATTTGGTACTGCAGAAAATGGAGTGCTTCGTATTGCATTTTTTTGTTGTTGTCGGTATGTACAACTTGTTAAAGAAACAAGCAAAAGATTGAACCATTTACTGTATATATGCTACCATTGTTACATGATTGTCTCATCCTGCCTTATATGTACTTTGACAATAATTGACATGCATATGTGAAAATGTATTTAATAAATGTTATCATTAAAAAAAGGCCAAAATATAGCCAATACTTTTCCTTGTGTTATTATGTTGCATAGAGTAGGTAAGGGTCCCCTCAGGTGGTCAGAGTAAAAACAAGTTAGGAAATTTCCAATGGAGACCCAGCAATGGAAATGTTAGAACCTCTGTTAGATTTGTAATGCTGTCTGTGGCTTCCTATTTCAGTGATCCCAATTTCCCTAATTTCTTGTCCGTGCTGCATTGGAATAGAAATTGAAGTAAGTTCTAACCCATCTCAACTTTATAAAAACAGTCTTACTTGGAACTGAAATTTAAGTCATACATGACATAAAAGTGATTTTCTGACATAAGCTGGTAATGGTCTAAGAATTCCAGTACTTAACCAAACTATGGTTCCAGTTTTCTTAGGGGAAAGTACGGTACATTTTTATTACATGTATATTGTGATTTTTTACTGCAACAATATTAAAAGAATATGTGTTTTTATTAACGCAGACCAAAACTATTAAAGCAATATATGGTCTGTATAGTTCTGGTCATAGATCATTGGACACATGTTAATGATTCTAATAATTAGTGTAACAAGAATCATTAAAAATAATTGCTGTACACAGCATGGTCCCAGGAGACCTCCTGATCTTGATGTAAAGGATCTGTACATGGCTTAGCACATTATAAATTCCCTGCACAGGGCACAATTTTATACACATGGATGATACCTGGTAGATAAGAACTGGGGAGAAATGTGGAGCACATTAAAGTGCCCTACTGCATGTGCTTCTTACAATTTGAAAGATTATTGTAGCTGTACAT